TCCCTATTTTTATGTCTGTCTCATTTTGTTAATTATGTTTTACTGTGGAAAACTATTTGGTGATCCATGGCTCCAACTAGGGTGGCTTTCTTTGTTTGGACCTCTGTTTGGAGAAATATTTTGACAATTGATAATTTAAGGATCAGGGGCAACTGTATTGTTAATCAGTGTTGTCTATGCAAGAAAGATGGGGAGTCTGTTGCCCACCTCCTTATGCATTGCCCCGTGGCGAATGACTGTTGGAATCTTATTTTTGGGTTGTTTGGCATGTGTTGGGTAATGTCAAGATCTACTAAGGATTTGATTCATGTATGGAGAGGTTGTCGCGTGAGAAGGGATGTTCGTGATTTCTGGAGAGTTATCCCACATTGTGTTTTGTGGTGTATTTGGAAGGAGAGAAATAGTAGAATGTTTGAAGATAAAGAGTCATTTACGGCAATGGTGAAACATCACATTCTTTGCTCTCTATTCTCTTATGTGAAGAGGAGTTCTTGCTCTTCTTCTGATGATTTAATTATTTTTTTGGATTCCTTGGGGCCTTAGTCCCGGTTCTATTTCTGTAATAGGGACGCGTTCCCCTTTTGAGCGCCTTTTTTATATTATTATTATTACTTATCAAAAAAAAAAAAATATTCTTTCCTATCATACCATGTTCTCTCTTAAATATCCGATAACAAATATTAGTTGACTTTAGTTAACAAATGCAGCACTATTACTTTTCTATCTGCAATTCTCCATCATTACTGTTAACTAGTGTGTCTATTTAAGTTTGTTGAAAAATTGGAGTCCTCGAATCGGTTGTTCTGAATATACATGGTTGCGTCGACAACTCTCGTCATGATGTTAGGTATCAGTCACGCCATCAGATAGGCAGGCTTTGATACAACAGTCTATTGGCAATATGACTTGGTAGTGGACAATTACTGGGATCTAGACAACAATACTTCCAAAGAGAGAGAATCATAGGATTTTTTTTTTCTTGGTAAATACCCACGTACACCCACAAATACCATCTATGGGACTCGAATCCCTCACCTTTCTTTTGAGGGAGGGGAAGTTATACCAGCTGGGCTAACAGCCCAGTGGTAATCACGGAAGATTGTTTATAATTAGAAACACATAATTAAGCGATGTATAATGTACAAATTAAACAAATACAATATTATATGGTCCTTGAATTCTTAAATACACATCATAATGGTATACCATTTGAATTAAATTACTTATTTTTTTTATATGTATAAATCTGTACGGATCACAATGATTAAAATATTATCTGTCTGGAAATGGAAGAGTGACAATACTGGGCCAAAAGTATATCAAGTGCTCCAATCTTTCTATAGTCTGTCAAATGTATTGAGCGGCTTAAAGGACTATCTCCCATTATTATTAAAGAATTTCATTACATTTAACTATGTACATCTGCATTATGCCATTATGAGTAAATAAGCATACACATACAGCCCTTCTTGCAAGGAGATGGCAGAAAAGAATTTTTGTTTGGGTATGAGAATGACAAAACTCACGTGAAATTATTGTAACGACCCGAACCGGGGGTCCGAATCGCTAACCGGGTCCTTACCCGAACCCGAGGACATACTAGGGGTAAAATGGTCATTTTAAAATATGAGATCAATCCATCCTTAAACTAATAAAATTAGGTTTAAAACAATCACTCTAGTCATTCCATGATACTCGATGAGGTTCTAGGGTCATCGGTTATGAATTCCCAAAAGTACCCTTACTCGGCTCAAGGAGAATTCCGACACTGTTCCACTAAAATAATTATAACTCTCAACATGAATGGAATTTGAGGATGAGGTTGGTCTCATTGGAAAGCTAACTCAAAATTCTTGAAAATGGACTCAAGAATGACCCTATTTGGGTTTGGAATGAAGAAGTTATGACCAAACGAAGTCAAGCGGTCAAAGCTGATACACTGTCAAGGCGAAAATATACATTGGAGGGCTGGAACTGGTTCCCAAAACTTGGTACCGGTTCCACATGGGCAGAATGCCGCAATGCGAACCAAAAACACCCTTGAACCGGTTCCAGAATGAGGTACCGGTTCCCCAAGTCCAGAACCTTAAAAATGCCAAGAAAAATGCCTAAACTCAAGCACTTGTGCACATGGCACCCCTTTGGTCCCTTGGTGACCCTAATTAAATTATATCCTGTACCCAAACATGCAATTGATAGTGTATGAGACATAATTAAATTCCCATGCCATCAATTAAATCGAATACAAGTCCAATACATCGTTTAAAGACCGGATTACACTAATCTCATTTTATACAATTTCAAAAGAATTAGCTACAAGGAATGAGGCCTATATGGCCAAAATTACATAGCTTTAATGTAAATAAAATGAAATGAACTCCTAACTACATCAATGTCCGTGGATGCATATCATTCACTAGCTCACCTCCAAACTCCTGAAAAATGTTAATAATGATAGGGTGAGCTTAACAGCTCAGTAGAAAAAGCTTAAATTACATTCCTAAAAATCCCGTGAACCACAACCAAAGAAGAGGAGAATAAGAAAAAGGGATCATGGGAATGTCAACCATAACATCAAACATTAATTTCAATGAATTTATAAATCATTTCAACACATGAGATGCAATTGCCCTCCGCTTTCCTTCCAACCCAAATCTCATCAAACCTTTCACAACTATCATTTCACCTCTCATCCCAACTTACACCACAACATCAATTCACTTCTCATACTTCATTCCCACATCATGAATTCAATTCCGCAAGCCCAATTTCCCTCGTGAAAAATACATGAAACTTATGCCATTAATCATCAAAATATCATTCATGAATTTAAATCAATATCATCACTCATGATATACAAAACATAAGACAAACGTACAAGCTATCCTTCCACATTTCAACATAGAAAATAGCATGTCATGCACAATTAGCATAAAAACACATTAACTACATTTCAAACCACATAAATCAACAACATATCATGCTTGAACACCACAACCCAAAACTCTACAAAACTAAGTATGCTACACAACAAGAAGATTTCATTTAAGAATATACATAGAAGCTCACTAAAACCATAGGACTCATAATTTAAACTTCCCCTACCTCAAGATAGCAACCTAAGTTCCAAGCCCCAAACTCAAATCCCACCAAAAGCTTGCAATACCGGTGCCAAAATGTAGTCCTTGCAATGATCTACAATTTGCTAACTTCGACTTAAACCAAGTCTTCTTTTAGCATGAAAAAATTCTAGAGAGAAGGGAGAGGAATATAGAGAGAGAATGAGAAAGGTTAGAGAGAGAGAGAGGGCTTGGCCGAAAATGATGAAAAAAAAATGGGTGTAGGCTTGGTCTTATAATTGCTTGTGTGGCCTTCCTTGTGCCACTTGTCATGATCTTATGGTTACTAACTTTTTGTCAAGTTATCATCATGCCCTTGCCCTTCCTCTATAATGTCATCCTTGTCCCATAAAATATCTTCCTAATATATAGATATAGATGTATACATATATACGAGAATAGTCCATTATGGCCCTTTCTTAAAATGGCAAAACCGGGAGAAATTCCCGAGTCCGGAAATCGTCCCGACTTCTGAAAAATTCTAAAAATGATACCGGCACTTCTAATTAACTTAAAATGATTAAAAATACACTTATAAGACCCTCGGCTCAAAAAAATGACCAAAACACCCTTCGGGGCCCGCGTGGCACCCAAAACGAGGCAATTATTAAAATAATCCAGAAAAATCAAATAAATTCCAGAAATTAGAAAATAAGGAAAATCGGTAACATTACAATTACACTGGATGGAGTGGGTGCTAAATGCCAAAATGCATTAAAAGGCATACTGTTACAAGGGCATGAATAAGGCAAATAAGTGTGTGGCTTTGGATAACGAGAAAATGGTTAGTGTTATATGATTAGAAGAAAAAAGATCTTTAGATAACGCAGAATGGTTAAAAGATGCATGTAGCCAATGGCTGATCTTAGTAGTACATAGGATATGCTCCAAAGATAATATTAACTGGACCAGATTCATGCTTTTTAAGAGAAACGGGGAAAGAGGTTGTGGGATCACATTGTTTGCCTTGTGATAGGGAGGACAGAAGTAGAAAATGAAGCTCTGCCTTTGTTATTATTATTTGTAGTCTAAAACACCACGTCCTCTTGGTGTATCTGACTGGCTACCATGTCTAGTTTCCGATTAACGACTTGTGATGGGCTCAAAAGTTGTCTGATCACTTCCATTGTTTTCCTTAAATAAGTTATCTGTAGGCATAAATGAGAAATATCTAGAGAACAACTTATTTCCTTGTTGCTTTCCACTGGTGGTTACTTGTTACATGGTATCACCATACAAACATCTATATCATATTGCTTGTTGGTGTTGGAGTATTCTGGATATTAATAATCTTTAGTAACGTCTGGTTTATGGAAATGGCTGTTTTATGGTTGGTCTAGTTCAGCTTACCAAATTCTTACCTGTCCTAGCTTATGAAGGCTACAAAGGCAAAACCTGAGAATCTTTGGGGTTATACTTCTACTACTACTACACTTTGATATGTCCATAAACAACAAAATTTGGAGAAAATATCTTCTGTGGCATATAAGGATCTGTGTGTTTCTATTATTTATTCAGTTTAGTAGTGATGTAATGTTCAAAATTTATTACATGCAAATAGCTGTATATTCAAAAACTCAAGTTTTTCAAGCCAAGTAAGGTAGATCTTACAATCCAGAGCTCTCGTTTGTTTGTATAATTGCAAGTGTGCGGCATACGCCACATTGGAGCTTATAGGTTCATTTGTTGTTCATTATCTTTTATAGTCCTGTAGCCTTGTACAAGGTGTTGTAGTTGATGTGATATCTTTATTATGATATACTCTGATTTATATTTATTCTACATTTAGTTGACAAAAAATCTGATGTTTTAAACCCATAAATTTTCTGACGTGTCTGCCATCAAAAGATAACAATTTCAGTTGGGATGCTACTGTTGTAGGTTATACTCTATAAGCTCTCTAGCGAATCAGGCGAGGTTGGTGATGACAGATCATCTGAAGTAATGAAGAAATGGGTCTATGTTGGTTATGTTAGAGCTCATACTCATGATGTGAGGGCCTTGACAGTGGCAGTACCTATCAGTAGAGAAGGTTTGTCTATGGTTTTAAGTTATCATTTCTTGTTTATTCTTAGGTACTGTTTAGATTTTTGGTCTTTGTAGTCTTCTATAATCCTTCTTTTAGCTGTGTGACTTACTTTATTAACTGTATTCTCTCCATTGGCAGATTTTGTGCCTGATGAAAAGGTAAAAAGGGTTCGTGGTAGACAGAAGCCCATTGATTTTAGTTATCATAAATGGGCCCACTTGGGAGTTCCCATGCTTATTTCGGCTGGTGATGACACTAAGCTTTTTGCGTATTCTGCCAAGGAGTTCACTAGCTTCTCTCCACATGATATCTGCCCTGCACCACAGAGAGTACCCATTCAACTGGTGGTCAATACGGCTATCAGTCAGACTCCTTTGCTTCTAGTCCAGGCTTCTCATTGGTTAGATATTCTGTGTGTTCGTGTGAGAAGAGGTGGTGTTTCTGATTTGGGTTCTGGTCCTTCTGGGGGGCTTGCGACCACAGATTTGGTAGCCCGAGTTAAGAGTAAGGCATCTCGAAAGATCATTTGCAGCACCATTTCTACTTCAGGATTTCTTTTTGCCTATTCTGACCACGTGAAGCCCAGCTTGTTTGAATTGAAGAGGTGTGAAGTTGGCAAAAGTGCATGGACAGTTAATAAAAGGCAACTTCCACCTAAACTGCCATTTGTCCATTCAATGGTTTTCAGTTTTGATTCTTCTCATTTGATGATGGCAGGGCATGATCGAAAAATATATGTAAGTCCTATCTTTCAGCTTAGGGAATGTTCGGCTAATGCTTTTGCTTTGTTTTTTTTGCTTTTGCTAGTGTATTGTAGCAAAGCAAAAGCACAGAGCATGTTTGGTAACGTTTGCTGTCATTTGAATAGTACCGAAGCGCTTCCAAAATTGAGGCCAAAGTCAGAAGCATAAAAATGATGCTTTTGTTTGCTTCCGCACTGTAGCAAAGCACTGTTCAAAAAAAAAAAAAAACATTTTTTTTTTTCTAAAATGACATTTTTAACTAGCCATTCAATTTTTCGAACTTGCAACACTTTTTACCAAACATGCTTTCATGTTTTTGCTTCCAAAAATCTTGCAGCAAATTTACGTTACCAAACAAGTTTTGAAATAGTGTTGAACACACTCTAAAGTAGACACTTTGCTTCTGCTTCGGGTCAAAGCAAAGGCGGTTGCCAAACGGGCCCTTAATATTTGCATTTCATATTGCTCGCAATGGTAAATTATAATTACGAAAATAACATTATATAAATTTCTCTTTACTTTTCTATCATTATCATGATTAACAATACTAATTATTCTATTATCACGTTCCTCCAAATGGTACCGGATTCAAAGGTTTAGTGCAGGGTGGCCTTATGACCCAAGACAGACTAAAGCAATTAGAATAGTGCGCAGATCAATAATAATAACTATGCTAATATGCATATATTCCATATTTGTTGCTGAATTTATCCTGTAAAACCTATTGTAGAATTTTTCCTACTTTAGAACTCTTAAACATTGTTTACTGAAAATGATGATTCCATAATTTGTACTTCTCATTATAGCCTCTAGCATCAATGGTAAATTTTTTTAATACAATATAGTATATATGCTTATTTTACTCCACTGTCTACATTTATGATTATTCCCAATTAATTATTACAAAAATGTCATTAGTTATATAGATATATATTATATTTATTGATAATGTCTATAATAAGATTGCCTTATATATAGATATGTTGTCATCATTGCCCTTAATAGTGAGTATTACTGACAGTAGTGTTAGTAACTAATATATTACGTATATGCGTATATACCCTTAATTTTAGTTGATAATAATGATGTTATTATTATTATTGCCAACTCATAAGTATTTCCCTTTATTACTGTTACTTGTAATCATGACCTTTTGTTTAGCTGTTGTAGTAATTTGGCTTGCGTTATTGTGGATCTATGTGATAACAGTCTGTTGACACAGTTCTCTAAGGTGGTAATTCACACCTTGTTATGCATGAATATATAAAAGTAACACGAGAATACACATCAATAGGCAAACATATGAACCTTACTCTAGTAATGAATAGGCTACAAATTAGGAGTCATGATAGCAGTAAAGAAAGATTAAGTATCCAAGTTCATATACTGAAAGGGACCTTCTCAGCCAGTCTACTTGAACATATGGACTAACCATGGGACACATTCTAGTACCAGAACTGGAATATCAGATTCATTATTAAATTAGAAATTTTAATCTCATTAGCTAACCCATATTTCATGATGTTGCAAGTTCAATAAACTTGTAGAAAATGTGATTTTGTTGAACATGGATTCTACCATAATGTATTAACTTATATCCCCACCCTTTTTTATATTTTTGTACAGACTATTCAACATACTATATGTACTTTTAGCTGACTGTCTTAAGATTGGAAATAAAAGGAATTGACCATTACTATCGCATAATGTTTTTGAAACTCTTGCATTTATTTGTCAATTTGAAGTTTGTGATAGTAATTGCAGCTTTATATGCTGTAGTCTTTTTTCAAAATTTTAACATATTCCTCCTTTCCTTCCATTTTCTCCAAAATATTGTAATAATGTATTTATATATATATTTACGAATTTCAATTTATATACTAATATTCTTATCAACCCAGTGGGTTTAATTTTTAATTTTGGGGTTCCAGCTCCTTATCTCATATCTTGCTCATTTAAAATATCTTGGTTGTACTTGTGTGCCACAAGTTGTCCTTATCTCATATTAGTTGGTCCTGTCCTTCGTGCTGCAGGTTGTGGATGTGGGAAGCTTAGTAGTGGTACGTGCCTTCACACCATGCCGAAAGGAGCAAGATGAGGAATTGCCTCCTAGTGAGCCTCCCATAACAAGGATGTTTACTAGTTCTGATGGGCAGTGGCTAGCTGCCATCAACTGCTTTGGAGATATTTATGTATTTAATCTTGAGACATTAAGGTGCGAAACTAACTTTGCTGATAGTTTTTACTTATGTTTCTTGTCCCTCCTTTCTAATTATAGTCTCACACATCATGAGTCAAGTAAATCTCATCAGGTAGTAGGAAGTTCTGATAATATTTCTATGTTCACAGGTAGTTCATTGGGTCTGGGATCTAATTATTTTTCTTTACTGAAACTTCTTCTATTTGTTTGCTTGTTTTGAGACAATAATTAGAACAAAAATACTGGTGGGTCATTCTATTTCCACGATTAACTTGGAACCATTTTTCAGCGTCTGTTTTTTTCACATATACAATTTCGTCATTTGAATTTACCACTTCATCGTGTGAGTCACCAAATTCTGATGTGGGAATGTTGAGTGTTAAAATTATGACCCAAGGCCCCAAACAAGTAGGCATTATTATGTTTTTTTATCTTTCAATCGTTTCTTTTCTTTATTGGTGGTGCATTTTTTTTTTTCTGTTTATAGTACTTGTTTTTGGTCTGGCCAGATGCCAGCTAACTCTAACAGCTTTTATTTGGTTAGATGTTTGTCCTTTATCTTGTGGGACAGACCGAAGTTTTGCCTATTGTGTTCTTTTATGTATTTTAATCTTTTTAGATACTCAGAAAGTTGTTTAGTAAAATTATGTTATAGAATAGCCCTTTGAATGCCCTACACTTTTTTCTTAGCTGGAAACTATATCTAAAGTATGCCTCTTATATCTTAGTTTCTGTAATTGATACAATTGGTTTATGTTTTGTGGGACAGGCAACACTGGTTCATATCAAGATTGGATGGTGCATCTGTGACTGCTGGTGGTTTCACTCCCCGGAACAGCAATGTGCTTATAATCTCTACCTCTTCAAACCAGGTTTATGCATTTGACGTAGAAGCTAAACAGTTAGGAGAATGGTCAAGGAAGCACACATTTGTTCTGCCAAGAAGATACCAAGAATTTCCTGGAGAAGTAATTGGGCTTTCATTTCCTCCGTCCTCAAATTCATCATCTGTTATCATCTATAGTGCCAGGTGCTTTCCTCTCCTTCCTTGTTTGATGAAAATGTATCTGCTTTTGTAGGTTTGAATTTTGGTTTAATTATTGGCTGCACCTTCATAGCCTTTATTAAAGCCTTGAGTTTCCATTACTTTATAGGAGAGACAGTAAGAAGTTTGGTGGTTGGGGGTGGATCAAGTTTATAATGTAAACTTGAAAATGAAACTGACTATGTAGAATATCGGTGAAATTGGTGATCTCAGGCAGCTGAGGGTTGTTCTGTTGTATGTTCTTTTAAAGGAAGCTATGGTGAATTCAAATGATTCTGGATGTCTTTATCAAAGATCCATCAACTAAGATGGTATATTGACTTTAGGCACAGAGTGCTGAAGTTGACAGGTAGAATGACCATTAGTTGCTGTAATGAATTTACGAGCTTGAATTGAAATATTAACCAGTTTAAATGGGATTGAGTGTCGCTCGTTTATATTTATGAATAATCTTGTATGAGTTTTAAATTATTTATGCCAAACTTGATTAACTCTCGAGTAGCATTGTGCTATATTGCCCTATTTGGTTGAAAGATGTTTTTATTACCGATGCATTACATTTATCACCAGTTCTAAGCTTGATGGTATGTTGTGGCACCTCCAAAGAGAGATGTTTCATTTTCCTTTAGAATTAATTTATTGGTTAAAAAGTTTTAAATAGAGACCATTTTTTGACATTCCTAAGAAATCGATTCTTCCGTACTTTTTGTGAATGATATTTTGTTAAAAAATCTAGCGGCTTTAAGAGAAACTATCATGACAGAGATACTAATTTATGTGTAATTGTTTGTGCTTTAGGGCGATGTGCTTGATTGACTTTGGGATGCCGGTTGATCAAGATGAGAACAATGACTTGGTAAACGGTCATGATTCAACATTGAAGAAGTGTCCAAATTTTCCCATTAATGGGATACTAAAACGTAAGTTGAGCGGCCATGAATTAGATACTAAACACAATGGTAGAAAGAATTTTGAATTTTGTGCTTTCCGGGATCCTGTTTTATTTGTTGGACATCTTTCGAAAAATTCTGTTTTGATCATAGACAAACCATGGATGCAAGTGGTTAAAACTTTCGATGCTCCACCTGTTCACAGACATATTTATGGGACATAACTACTTGTCAAAGGTGGTTTGTAGTCTAGGTGGGAGAGTGCAAAATGGGGCAGTTGATCCCGTTCTTTTCAATGTGTCAGTGGGGGGGTCTAAAGCATGTTGTGTAATGTATTCCTTCATAAGTTTTGCTAACATGTTAAAGTATTTTTTTTTCCCTTTTATATATTCATTTTAACCTGCAATGATTCCCCTTGGTTGTTCACGGTGCAGTGATTCGTTACAGCTTTGAAATGTTGTATTTTTATTCCACAACAAATTTTCATGCAGGCATGTACAGTTCCCCCCTCCCTTTCTCTCTTTATGTCGCTTCTATGAAAATCATGCCCTTTTTGAATGAATTTCTGTTAGAAACTTTTTGCTCCATTGGGATGGAATTTTGTGAAATTACTTGGAACCAGAAGTTCACAAGGGCACCGTAAGTTTGCAAATTTTGGCTGTTTTGATAAGCTGCTGTTATTTGTGCATATATATTCATATGTTGTACATATGAAGGGTTCTGTTATTTTAATTTGCATTTATGTAGGAACGTAAGGTTCACTAGAACACTGCATATTTTTAGGTAAAATATAGCCTCTCCCATTCATTGAGATGTAGCTTCAAGCATTTGAATTTGTACATAAAATTTTGATTAGAAAACCATAATGATTAAGCTATGAAAACAGTATGTCTCGGACGAGTGAAAGGTCTGCATGTGACTAAATCATATCAATTTTGTTTTACGTGACATTTGTCTGCCTTCGTGATAGTATTGAAAAGCATTGAGAGGATGGGTCTGAAATTACACGGATGTGTTGTGCAATTTTGATTTGTATTTAGATTTGGAGGTGTCTATAGATCTTGATGGTACAAGGCTCGATCCTTTTCTTTAATCATTTGCATATGTCTTCACATCTGGTATGTTTTCAAGTCATTATCAACCAATTATTCATGCAGTTTTTTCTGGTGTCAAATGGAAGTGAAAAAGCTGTTGCTCTTTCAGCCTCACAGATTTTTAGCTTGTTTGTCTTTAAGTTCACACCTCTCTATCCCTATCTCTTTCTCTCCCGCCATCATAATAAAGTTCAAGATATGAAGTCCGTATTGGTGGAATCTATTGACTTGTTATCTTCTTGAGTAATCTCAAACATCCTTGGTAATGCACAGACCAATATGTTATCCAATTATAATGGAGAAGATAAAACCTTGATTTTCTTTGTTACGGCTTTCTTGTTACGACTTAACTATAGTCACTAGTTACGGCTCCCACAACGTCATGGGCAGTGTGTACAAGGCCAGGAACGGATTCACTGCCGTATGGGCGATTACTAGTGATTCCGGCTTCATTCTGACGAGTATTATGGTCACTCTTCTACATAGTAGTCATGGATTGGGGTTTTTTTTTTTAAAAAAAAAATTGTTGTTGAGGAGGAAATGCACAACTTTTAGGGGTGTAACCTGAGGCTGTGAGTGAGTTGGGAGTTTGCACTGTCAACATCTATGAAAGTTGAGAGTTGAGAATTGGAAGGGTACCATTAAGGAAGGGTGTGGGGTGCATATGGATTGGATGTTTTGGCCTTTGCCTTGTCCTTTTACTAGTGAGGATGTGATTTGTTTTAGTAAAGATTTGATGGTATCCAACCAAAACAATTTCAATAATTGCACCCATATGTACCATGTGGATCCTATTCTTAGTGGGCACCTGTTTGGGTCGTGGGGCGCTGGGTTTTTTGGGATCCTCTAGGGGCAATAAAGTTGGAGGGAGGGCCAATCATCGGTTTTCTTAGAAAGTTTTTGTTTTTAGAAGGAAAAACGATTAAGTATTTTTACGGACTAATGTGTCATTCATTCATTAAAACACTTCGATTTGGAAGCGAGAGTGTTACATTTATTCGTCACTAATTAGGAGTCCTTGTTGGTCACAAGTGATTTGAGTGCGAAAAACACATGATGAAGTCTAGTTGTACTCTTTTAAAAACAAGTTAATGCGCAATTTTCTTATTTAAAAATCTTAAAATAGTTCTCGAAAAATTAAATCAAATATACCAAAGGTCTAGAATGTTGACCGATCAAGTCTAAAAAGGGATAAAGTAAATGTGTGACTCTGTTTCTTGTCAATAAAAAATGAAAAATTTAAACCCGAATATGTTTAATAGTCGGTGTTTGTGCCTTTTGGGTTTTTGGAAATAGTTTTTTATGTTTTTAAAATTTAATTGACAAACTTACACCTAATACTTATATCTATTTAGGAGTTAAAAACACTCATGTTTTTTAAATTTAAATGACAAACTTACACGTGATTGTTACAAAAGATATATAACATAAGATATAGTAGGGCTAGGACAGTTATTGAGGGGAGTACAAATGTCTCCTTGTGAGATGATAAATGTTTTCACAAATCACATATGTGGTGGGCCCTCATTACATGTGAGAGAGTCGAAAATAGTACCTAAGTCACACAATCCTTCTTAACAGGTGTCGCTCTTACACTCCGAATACGTTCCCGCTCTAATGCTCTGCGCGCACTCTCGTTCAAATTCGCACTGTTTATGACTTTATTCTGCCGCTCTCATGTTCCTGTTCTCGAATTTGCTCCCTCTCTCGCTTTATGTGACTAAGGGTTATAGCAATTTTTAGAGGTTATTTATTTATTTTTTTATTTTTTTATTTGAGCGAATTCAACCAAACAAGAGTTGTTGGCAAAATAAACTTATAATTTAATAATTTATTGCAGCAAGAAAACTAGGAATAGGGATGTCAATTTTTACCGCCCTGCCGGGGCCCCGCCCCGTCCCGCCCCATTAATAACAGATATGGGAACACTTTTTATACCGTTGGGGCGGGCATGGATACAAATTTTGTACCCATCGCGGGTCACGGGGCGGGTAAGGGTTCAGTATACATATCCTAGGGGCCCCGCCCCGCCCCGCCCCTCCCCGCCCTGTTAAGCATATAATTATATTATATTATATTATATATATATATATATATATATATATATATATATATATATGTAAACTTGATATTAAATTTGCTCTTGTTTTGGTTGTGGTGGAAGTTGGAGTTTAGAACTTTTTGTGATTTAGTTGTATAAAACTTTTATTTTTGTTTATTATGTTATCCGAATTATGTTATGTGCATGTTATTTTTTTTTATTTTTGTTGGGATACATAATTTCATTTATATTGTACCATTCCCAGGCTTTCCACATTCAAATAGGAACTTAAGTTCCAAAAAGTGGGAGAAAAAAATTTGTTAGCAGAGTGGGCATGGGGACACCGTATTTTCCAACGGGGCGGGGCTGGACATGAAAATCCAATCCGTCGAGGGTCTCGGGGCAGGCATGGACTTGACAAAAATTAAAAGGGACAGGGCAGAATTTAAGAAAACCCGCTCTAAACCCGCCCCGTTGCCATCCCTAACTAGGAAGGAAGTAATGGACTCTCTGTCTCTCCCCCAATTATGAAAGTGGAGCTCAATAATACAAAAGACATGAGTGACTTTTCTTCTGCAGCCTATGAGAATTGCACTTTAACAACTCTTCTCAGTCTTCTAAACAAAAATCTCCTTTTGTTTCCATAATGCAACTGAAATGTTTTATCCTGACATTTTTTTTATTTATTTTCGTCTACAATCTCCTACAAACCAAACCATATACAATTCCATTTAAATTCACTGAAAAAGCTTGAAAAATTTCTGAACACACAATATGCTTCTGACAGCTTTAGAGAATCTAAGGAGGAAAGGTGTCATTCCTACCATGCATTATCATGTTCCAGAACAGTACATATATATATATATATATATATATATATATATATATATATATATATTACCAAACGGCTTCTCCTCCAATGTTATAAACTTATAACCTTTCCCTCTTCAAAAAGGTGACTCGGGCTTGGATAGAAAGTGTCTGAATACTTGCCTGACCATGCTTGGACAAAGAGTGTGTGTGAGTACTTACCTGATGAAATATATATATATATATTTATATATATAAATTGCTCTTTAGTCTTTACCCTTGAAAACCAATCCATTTCCATTTGGATAATAAAAAACTAGCTCATGCACTTTTGTAGCTTTTTAATTAACCTGCCCTATTGTACAGAAATCTAGGAAATTTCTATATTAAGTGAGGATGACTATAAACTATAAAGTTATGGGAAGATTAGCAGGAAAATTTGACAAGGTTGGAAGATGATGATGATTAAGATATGACAAAATGAAAAATTTGTACAAAATAAATGTGTAAATTGACCAATACTGATAACTAGCATATAGGAGTCAAGAATTCATAGGAAAAAAAAAAACAAAAAAACAAAAAAAAAAAAAAGAAGCAAAGATATTGATCAGATATGAGTGAAAGTGAAAGTACAATGAATATGAGATAAACAAATGTATTGTAGATGGCACATGATTGCGTTCGTGTTCATTTCCGTATCATAATTTGTGGGCAAACATGTTATTAACATATTTCTGGTGTGTCACCACAGATGAACTGTCGAGTTGGCAAGATTATGCTGATATTATGGATGTTTTGGCCTCCATTATTAGCTGATAGATTCATCCCCCTATCCACATAAGGTTGGCTTTAAACATGCGTGTGTGTGTGCGCGCGCGCGCGTGCACGAATTGTCATGAGGACAAGGGTTTGAGGATTGTTTGAAGAAGCAACACTGGTAGGTAACACCTTGATTAATGGTGATGAGTCTATTCTGATGTGAATGGGACTAAGCAAATTTGTTTGCTGATAAACTCTGATGTCACGAGGACAAGGGTACATAATATGATAATGACAAGTCTGTTTCAACCTTCTGGGAGCATTTGGAAGTGTTAAAATGTGCTACCAAATGCTTATGGATCGAACATAGTTGGAAGATTCCCTCCTAGGATATGATCAAACCTGCCCTAAACCACAGACACAAGCACTTGAATTGTGCTGATAAACTTTGTTTGTGACTGTGTGTGCAAAAGCTGTCTGTCTCTACATTTTTATCCTCATGCCTATTTCTGCAATATTTTACTACGTCTTTATGATCCTCATGCCTATTTCTACAATATTTTACTACGTCTTTAGATTCTTATTTATCATTAGTGTGTGTATATATATATATATATATTTTAATGGTGTTTGGGGATTGAAAAAGCTGTTAGTTCCATTAAACTTTGATATTTTTGCTTAACTGTTCATTTGTGTTTAAATATGATTTCTGCTCTCTCTCTCTGTCTTGTGTGTGTGTGTGTGGAGAAAGCAGAAGTGAATGGGAGGTTGAGATGTTCTTTTCTCATTTTTTCTACATAATGTGGACAAATGTTTCTATCAGTATCAAAGAGAAGTTGACTTCAAAGTTCAAACCATGAAAACAAGTAAAAAAGTAAAGCACAATTGTAATATGATTTCAAGCACAAATAATTTCTTTCTGAACCAAGTGAGGCACAGGCCTTTGAAAACAAGGACATAGATGATAGAACAAACATGAAACACACACATGCACAAAGGGAGAGTGTGAAATATTTAGATGAAGTACATGTGTTGGATCAGGAAGATCTCATTGCACTTCTACTTGGATTAAAGGCATCTAGAAACTGAAGATTAGACACATGATATTCCCACCTTTCTACTGTCATTTCTTAATATAGAAACTATCACTAAAATACCCTCGAGGGGATAGGGCTAAGCGGAGCAAAAAGGGTTTTTCATGGGATGGGAAATGAAAGTATTAGCTCCCCACACGAGGTTTTTGAATAAGTGATTGTCCAATAATGAGGAAGGAATATGTCTTTCTGCTAAACAGGATGTACTGAACTCATAATTCATTAGATACTTTTTATGAATGTAATTGCGCCCGGTTGTTCAGTACGCAATTTTGTTTTGATTGTTGACTTACCAATCTTGAATAACACCCACATAAGTACCCTTTAACTCACCGAAATTATTTTTGATTTCATGATATTTGTCATGGGAAGAATATAAGGAGAGAGAGCTGGGAAATGTTGTCCCTTTCCTAAAATTTATGACATTTTATGAGATGTGGGTACTAATTCTAAGGATGAAAAGCCCTTGAATAAAGATTTTGAAGGGAACCCACCCAAACAAAATCAATAATTGCAGCAGGGTATTATATATGGATCACATTCTTAGTGGGTAGCTGTCATGAGGTGGTGGGGTGCTGCTTTTGGACCATCTTTGGTGGAAAATGTGTATAGTTTCATCAGAAATTTTGTCTGTTTTTTAAGTTTTAGAGTGGATTGCATTTAGCAAATTTACCTATCTCATCACACCTCATTCACTCTCTAGCTTGGCTGTCAATCCCAAAAGCAGAAAAATGGGGGTCACTGTTTGGTCTTTGTGGTTGGTCTGCATATGATGATGCCCTCTCTCTCTCTCTCTCTCTCTCATTTGTATGTGTCCATGTCCATATGTGGTATTTACCAACTAATAGGAAAAGCAACACCACTGCTCTTGAGAAGACTACACTTCTTTATTTAATGATTTAATGATTTTCTGGTTTTCTTCACCTCTTCTTTCTTGCATCTATTTAACCTTTTTTTGCCAATAAGTATATCCTTTTATACTGTTGCTTGAAATTCAGTTTCATAATTCATATATGATTCTAAAATTGTTCTTTTTCCTTCTGAATAGTTAAAGGAAGTGCATTGTTGTGGTTTCAACTTTCAAGCCCATGGATTCAGATGACTTTTGTTTTTCTCTTATTTGCTTTGTTCATCTTATAAATTAGGTTATGTAATGATGACTTAATAGAGTTAGTGCCACCATCCATGACAAACTAGAAAGAAAAGAAAATTAAATTTGACATTTATGTAACAACTTACAAGGTTGTTTCCTTCTGCATTGACAGGAACATAAAACAATATATGAAAATAAAAAAACCAATAAAGAGAAGAGAAGAAAGGAGCAAGAGGTCTTAGAAATCTATTGCCCTTTTCTTTTTTACATTCCCAAACAAGAGCTCTTAGGAAAAAGAACTCCCTGTCTGTCTCTTTCTCTCAATATTGAAGCAGCAGCAGCACCTCATCCGCGCTTTCTTCCCTGTAAACCACCTATCAACAAACACATAGAGATGGTGAGAGAGGAACCAATCTAGGCTGCTAGAGAGTATATAGGTACTATTACAACAATGTACATAGAGAGATTCACTCACTGGCTGCCTCTGAAGATGAAGATTTCCCCTGCAAGAGTATATAAATCGAATTGGAAGAAATCCACAAGAAAAATCTGTAAAAAATTTGGTAAGAAAATGGGAAGAATATTAGGACCTTAAATCTTGTTTCAGAGAAGCCCTTTGAAGCTTCATTGGAAGAAAAAGCTATATCCTTCTGTAAAATATAGGAAACACAATAAGTACTAAAAGCTCATTATATACATATAGAAAGCAGTGTCCTTTATTTGAACTTGCCTCGGAGAATCTGAGGACTGGGGAGCTAGCAGTGTCGTCAAGATACGAATGCTGTTTTTTCCCTCTACGTTCTTTGGTTTTCTTTTTCTTCTCACCCTTCTTTGCTTGTTCATAAGCAGAAGAAGCATAGCCAAAGTACCTAGTTTCATCGAAGCACCCTTCATCTTCGCAGAATTGTGGAGGTCCAGATGATGCATCGGACACCATGGACAAATCCTCGTCGTCCTCCTTCACATTCGCCACTTTGCTTCTGAAATCTTTATCATCAGCTTTGTAGAATTGATCTCCATAATTTGAGGATTGATCGAAGTACATAGTCCAACCGGATTCACGCCTACTACTGCATTCAGAACTTGAATTCTTCATATTCTTATAGATTCTTTAGAAACAAACAGAAAATGAAATATATATCTACTATATATACAATCCCTAGGAGCCAAGAGAGAGCTGTTCACTTATACAAAAAAAAAAGAGAAAAAGAGACTGATTACACTGCTCTCTTGTTCTAGTCTCTCTATATAAGCACAAGAGAAGAAGACTAGAGCATAAAACACCAAATGAATCACACTCAAATCTTAGACTGTTTTTGTCCTTTGCTCCATCTTTTCCACCTTTTTTTTAAAATTTTTTTTTTTTTAATATCTATTTTGTGAATGAATCAAAAATTGCCAGTTGGCTTGGTCTTGGAGAGAGAGAGAGAGAGAGGAATCATTGGCCATTGGAAACTGATGTTGGTTACATTGGTTATAATGAGAGGATGTGTCCTCATCTCAACAAAAATAATAATAATAATAATTATATTTTTTGTTCATCTGTTATTGTTTGATAGTCACAATGGCATGGCCACACTCTTTGATTATGGTTATCATGTAGGAAATTGCAATGATCACCTAAATTCTTTAGTTACTGTTTTTTTCATACCAGAAGTTGAATCATTCAGTCCAGTTGTCCTAACATCACAACAACAGCAACTGATGCATTTCATTTTGAACAATAGTTGGATGAAGCATCATGTCGTGTGGCACAAAATGAGAGGAAATGGGCTGTGTTGATAATTTGTACCCTTTTCCTTTTCCACTTCCACATAGGCTCTCTATGACCAAATAAAGTGGTTGATCAGGAGTTTAGAATGCGCACACACACACACACACACACGAACTTGAAATACATAGCAAAATCTGCTAAATATGATGCAACAGTTCTATCCTTCTGAAGTTCTGATGAAGCTGGATTTTGTTGGTAAAACTAAAAACAGCGAAATCTTTGAAAAATATAAGAAGGTAGTAAGCGAAGCAAAACATGGAGCATATGACGATTTTTATTTTAAGCTAAGGCACAAAAGAAGAGGAGACGAACATATATAAACTTGCTAAACTAAGGGAGAGAAAAACCTGGAGATTTTAGCTATATTAAATGTATTAAGAATGAAGATTCACGGGTTTTAGTAAAAGATAGACGAAATTAAAGATAGAAAAATTATTTCGAAAAATTGCTAAATGAAAATAATATAGGAAGTTTAGGCTTAGATGAATGCAAGAAAATTTTAGGAGTAGACACTTTTGGAAGAGGAAAATTGTTCCATGAATTCTACCTAGATTTGGTACATTGACATAGTAAGGTTCTAAGTTTGGAACAGAAAGATAGTAAACCATCAATGTTATGCTTTTACTGTAGTTTTGTTTTCTTGAGAAAATTACTACTTGTTTGGAAAGCTAGAATGTGATAAGACATGGGAAATGCAGGAGAGAAAAGACAGGCTGACAGATAAAGGCAACATCTTGTATAATGGACTATAGTTAGTGGCAGTTTTCAGCTGTCACATTGACTAAATATGTCCAAGTTAATTAGGAACAATCCTATATTTGGAATTGCTTTGGAATTCCAACTGTAACCCTCTTTTTGGTGAAAACATAGATGATGAAAGATTGCTTTAGGAGCCACTTAATTGTTAGAATTATACGGAATAGTTTCTTTGTCAAATAAGATATCAGACCTTGAACTCTGTTCAGAAGAATAAAATACAAATATACTTCAAATTTAGGAGTGTCAGTACAATTTATTCTTATTATTATTTAAACTAGAAAAAAGAAATTTAGACCAATTTATTGTAATGAAATATTTATTGCGGTACTTACTCCATTATTTACAGAAAAAAATAGAGTTACAAAATCAGTGAAGAACATAAATGAAACCTTTCTTATGATAGTTTTCATATGGAGATTTTAGATTTGTTATTTAAACCTATGAAGAAAGGACTTCCAAAGAATTATAGTGTGATATTTCATAACAAATATCTACTTTGAAACGACCAAAAAAGTGAATCAATCATAACAAAAAAATCCTCCATGATCTCATGCTCGAAAGTAACACCAACGATCCACGTTACAGGACTAAAAGTGATTGATAAAATCGAGTAATGCTCTCAAGAGAGCTCCCTCACTATCAACTTTTCATTTTAACCTATGAATTAAAAGATACATTTGAATTTTTACATATCTCCAAAAATTGTCTCAATTCAATGGTTAAACATTAAGAGCTCTCGGTTGTTCTTACGAGGGAGTTCTCTTGAGAACATTACTTGATAAATAAATACAAATCCCACGTCATGCCATTTCATCAATTTCTCACCTTTTTTTTTATTTTTGATTTTTTATTTAATTTTTTGGTGGAAAACATATTTGTATGTATGAAATATAGGCCAAGCTTTTGAGTATTGTCATTATAGAGTAACAACTCTTGCTAGGAGGTTCATGGGGCCACTAATAGGATAGATGCTCATATGATTCAACTGGTCCCTGAAACTGATCTCATGTGCATATGTCCTTTGATAGGTTGTGGTTCTTGGGCATTCTAAATCTGGATGTGGGTCAAACTCAATCGGATCATAAAAGCACCTCTCTGTACTGTGTTAGTGTTTTTTCCACAGGAGTTTTGATTTAAATGGCATATTCTTGCTTCTCATTTTAACCCAAGTGGCTTAATGTAATAGTGAGAAATCATTGCATGATTCCGGGACTACTCACCATTAGACATCTAAATAAAAGAAATATTTAAGTTTTATTTAATTTTTTGCTTAAGTTTTAAATAGTGATTGGCCGGGTCCCATCTCGGCCAATCATAAATTGACAAGTAACAAAAGATAATAATAATAATAATAATAATAAAACTGATACATTTAATTGTCTGTTTACGATGGAACTTTATTGTCTCGAAAAAAGAAAAAAAAATAATTAGTTCATTGTGAGGTCAACATCACCCATTTAACCTCAAAGTAAAAAATTCAAAGTTTTTACATCTCTTGAAAGGTTTAGACAAGTTAACAACCCAAGTCAACATCAGCATTGTCAAATCATTCATTTCACCTTCTTTTTTTTTTTTTTTTTTCTTTTTTTCTTTCTTTCTTTTTTTTTTTTCTCAAATTACTCTAATTCATAAGTGGTGTTATTGGGATTAAGATCTTCTCCTGCGCTGCATTAAATATGTTCTAGTTAGTAAAGAGGTCTAGTGATACGCTATACAAAAAAGCCTTACATCCCAACATTTTCCTCTCCTCACTAACTAACAACATTTTACACTGTAGCGCATGAGAGAATTTTGATCCAGTGTTGTATAGACTCAAATTACATGTCCTATCTAACCCTTTGAATTAAATGGCTGATCAAATGGCATCACATTTGCAGTCCAGTTATCATTTATAATGCATAAAAGTTCTTTTCAAAATAGTTTTGTAGGGTGTGTAATTCCATCCAACTTTTTAATCAAAATGAATCCCAAGGTTGAGTGATCGAGTCCTGTTAAAAATAATATTGTGAATATGCGTGCGTTTGCTTGAACTTTTGACAAATTTTTTTAGTCTCGTCCGGACAAGCTATAGTGCAATCCAAAAACAAGCAACTACTGAAGCCACTGCTGCATGAGACATGAAAACGGACATTGTCATTGAACTGCAATTCAAATGGAGCATTTATTGACTTGACAATGGACTTGTTCTAGTTCAAGAATACATGCTCATCTAGGATGTTGTGTGTGAACAGGACCAATTCAGGAAGAAAGAAAAGCCTAGTATGAACTGAAAGTGTTCAGATTACAGTATTGGAGGGAAAAAAAAAAAAAAAACAAGGCTTGCAATAAAATAGATTCACACTAAAAATTCAACCAAATTATATTTCATGAAATTAAAACTGTAGTACCCACCTGTAAGTAAAATTATATACAAATTTATGAGATAAAAGTCTCTTTCACTAAAGAAATATACTGAAATGAGTTTAAAAATGTAGTGACACTGGTGAGAATAGTTATTGCCCCACCATTTTAGTGGTACCACAGAAGTTCACTGAATTTCATAAATTATATCTGCCAAAAAGAATAAAGAAAAAAATCATAAATTATATTCAATTTTCCAAACTAAGCATTTATTTTTGGTCCTGACGAAGTATCTATAGATATTCTCTGTTTAAGAACACAAGCAAAACTCTGTTTTTTTTTTTTTTTTTCACTTCAGAAAGTGTTTCTAATTGAACTAAGGCTATGTTCAGTTGCATGGAATTGTAATTGGAATTGGAATTGGAATTAAAGAAAAATAACTCATAAAATTAACCAAAATTTGTACTAATTCCAATTTCAATTCTATGCAACCGAACACAGCCAAAATTTCCTCCAATTTTAAATCTAAGTCGTTGATTCAGTACTCCTAAACACAACAATACTGAATTTATAGAGCTTGTGTTAATATGTAAGATACAAGACTCTACAACGCAATTGCAAAAGAACCAAGTCAAGTCGTGCCTTAGGTAGTTCGAGCTTAAGTGAACCAAACTTTGGGTGTCTGAGTTCATCTGGTCTGGCTTTTTAGATAGTTCAAGCTCAAACTAGATCTCATTATCAAGCTCGAGTTTAAAGTCAAGATTCATAAAGAGAATTTGATTGTAAATCCAAACAAAGCCTTGATGAACAAGTAGTCGAATCCACAAGCTTGTTTAGGAACACACTTATTATTCCTCAAGATGTTCGCTAGCCTAATGAGCTAAGCTAGAGGTTGCTCCAGCTCGGCTCATTTATTAGACAAACATAAAAACCAAATTGGAAACGAACTTCAATCAAGCTAAACTAGTTCTCTCTACTCACGAACAACTTAGTTGATTTACAGCCCTAAACGTCTTAGCCAAAACAATAAAATAGAACTATCAATAACAAAATTCAAGACACCCATTGGATACTTATGAATAATTGAAGCTTCATGTATAATGAGCTAAACTTGAACTGAGCTCAACCACCAATGCATGTGGCCTAATAGTGTCTCCTCCTCTCTTTCAAGTTTTTTCAAAAGTTTAAGCACATGCCGACAATTTCATGTAATGTCACAACTGTGCATTGATCTGTTGGTAGTTGGTACTCATTTAACTACAACTGCGTTATAACCGCGCATGTATGGGATGCACAGAGCTGACCTTTCAAGACTGTGCCGACCATCAGGCCACGCCAATCCCTCTTGAGCATGCAAGCCCAAGCCCTTGAACTGCTCCATATTGCCATGCTGATACCAAATCGTCACGCTCCAAAAATCATAGGGTGCGAGTAAACGAGGTTTAAAGAGAAAATGGTAAAACTAAACTAGTTTTAAACCTTCAAATATACAGGTAAACAACCCAAATTTTGATACACAACTAATGGCAGGCATCAAGCAAGGATAGAGATCTCCACAAGAATCCATGTCATTGATATTCATAGAAGAAACAATTCAACAAATGCACAGTGATGGGTTTTGCAGTGTCGGAGCAGAAAAGCCTAAGCATAAAACAACCCCCAAGAAAGTGCCACAATCTAAAATCCTAAATGGGAATCAGAACAGAGATAATGAGTTCAGGGGAGAGATTATGGGAGGGTGGTTTGAATTTCAAACATTCTGAAAACAAACAGGGGACACCTTATCGGCAACACCATTAGCAGTCAATACGCGTGACATCAGTTGATGAATGCAAGAAATGCCAAGCAAATTCAAGGAGAATTTTTTTTTTGGGGGTGGGGGGGGGGGAGATGGGGACCAACACCATAGCAACACAACAAAGCATATCAAACGACAAACCAAACATCTCAATATCGATTATATTCATATCTCAAGTCTCTGTTCACAACTATCATGACATCAATTAATACATAATGAAATGTACAGCAGAGAGTAACTGATAAGAAATGCTTCTGTCGCTCTCTATAATTGCTTTCCTTTTGCCTCAACTGTTTGGGATTCTTGCCCTTTGGCCCCTTCCCACCCTTTACTAGTGAGCCTGAATACAAAGATGTTCCACTTTTAGATGCAAAAAAGAGAACTATTTTTCTGAGAAGATTCAGTTACAGCTTCCTCTAACTGCAGAGAAGATGGAGGAATAAGAGATAAATTTATATCACACTCACATTTTTGGCAAAATTGTGGAACATGATTCAAAATAGCGAGCACCAATCAATATAAATTAGAATTTCTGAAGTAATTATTTTTAACATCCAGAACATCAATAGTGTCTTTGTGTCTCCACCATTAGGTCAAGTGTGAGACATTAATTTTGCAGTGTCATATAGTTTTAGCTTGTCATTGGTGATTACATTCTAATATATATATATATATCAGTCTGAGCTGGAAAAAAACTTGCATCTTTAATGTGCTTGGTTATGGCCATGTTCATGGTGAATCTCCATGAAATTTGTATTAGTCAAATGGACTAGCACTATAAAGATGCTAAGTATCAGTCAGAAAAAAATGCTATAATTGAAAGTTCAAATCCTTTAGTCCAACTGAAGTTTGGAATATGTGAAGTTTCTATAATATTCTAAATAATTGCACTCTGTTCAACCAGAGTTAAGAATAGACTTTGTTTATTTAATCAGATAACTTGCAACCACTCTAGAAAAGGGGGTTAGACTGTCACAAGAAAAGAAGTTAGGGGTATTTAAGCGAGTTAGAATGGTCATTTCCTGCATGACTCTTTGAAATTACATTATGCTGTGTGTGTGTGTGTGACGAATGAAGGAGCTTTCGCACTTGTATCTACAAGGCGTGGGAGTGAAATTTGAGACATTGTCTGGATTAATCTTTTCTTTGCTCAAATCAATAGAGAATATAATATGTTGTAGCAGATGGGAACGTTTTAGAATGTGCCTATATTATGCATGTGCACTGATCATAATTAAGCTGAATTTAGAAGAGAACTACATTGCAAGAACAGGAGCAAAATCACAATACCGAACACGATGTTCTAAAATGAACTAAATCTTTCAGTTGTGCAGGTATGCATGGGTTGGTGGTATAAGCCCAAGTATCTTAACCATCTGGTAGTGTTCTTTTACAAATGGTCCTTTGATAACAAGAAGTTTCAAGCAAAAGGCCTTAACCATCGTGATTCATGACATACTCAATAACAAAATTCAAGACACCCATTGGATAATGGCGAATAATTGAGGCTTCATGGATATTAAGCTAAAAAATTTCACCTAAATAGGCTAAATTGCACCATGGTGATGACACAGAGTCTCAGTCTTGGCTAAACTTGCACTTAATGCTCTCAATAGAGTACACAAAAGTAATACAAGAGTAAACTCTCAAACTTTATTACACTCAATAAATGGATAACTACACAAATGAAACCCCTCTATTTTTTATTTTTTATTTTTTTTCCTGAATGGGTTTATGAAACACCTCTATTGCACACTGTGTATCCTATTTCTAGCTAGGGTACAAAATTGTGAACTACTCTTCAACCGTAAACCACGAACGCATGTGGCCTAATAGTATCTCCTCCCTTTCCAAAGCACGAACTCTCTGTGCTATAACCGCACATGTATGGGATGCATAGTGCTGACTTTTCAAGACTGTGCCGACCATCAAGCCATGTCCATATATGGGATTGACTCCTTTGAGCACGCAAGCCCAAGCCCTTGAACAGCTCCATATTATTATTATGTTAATATATTTTAGACTGAACTTATTTTGTAGTACTAAGTCATTTACTACGAAAATTTGTTTCTGTCACCTTTACTTTAAAATTTTATTATAGTTCTGGCACAAATGGTTTTGTAGTAAACTACACAGGTATTTAGAACAGAATTTGACTTCGTAAAAAATACCCGATTTTAGTGTATGTTTTCTATACTAAGGTTTTTAGCCCGGTCTGTTGCCCTTAATGGCTTTTCAATTGTATTCACTTCCTTTTGCCTGGTTTACAAAAAATAAAAAAATAAAAAATATATATATAAAAAACTACACATTTTTGCTCCCTAGTAAATGATTTGTTATACTAATTCCCTCAGAATTTTCAGAATTTCACTCTCACTCTAAAGTGAGATGTATCTTAGATATTTCGACAAATCCATTCTCAATATTTGTAAACAATTATATTGCCTTATACTTGATCTTTAAAAACCCATTCTTAGACCAGTCCTTACCTAAGTCACAAAATTCTTCGCAATGTGAATCTTTGGTTGTAAAATAAATGTATAAAGAGCAATGGTCTTATGCAAATCAGTCCGGGAGATTCTACTCTATGCATTTGTGATGCAGCCATTATATCCCTAACGGTTTCTCTTGGTGGGCTTTCACAGATATGGGTTATCTCATTTTGCTCTGTATTTATTTTTATTGTTGAGCCAGTTCCATTCTGTACAATTCTCTGCCCTTGTGGTTCTCCCTTTGGTTTTTGGGCTTTTGCCTGCATTTATAGTAATAAGGCATTTAAAAGATTAGTTGGCTACTTTGGCCATTATTATTATTATTATTATTATTATTTTTTTTGGGAGTAGTTTTTATAAGCAATTATCTATCTGTCTCATTCTTACTCCAACGGTCCAACCTCATCTTAACTCAAATAGATTAGCATTACAATATATGCACAACTGAAGATGTTGTTGTAACTCAATTTGATATGCATTTAAATCCATTTTTATTTTTTGGAAATGGGAAACCCTTCCAAACACCTACCCTTTGGACTTATGGTTGCAAATATCATCTCCTCGGATATTTGCAACCATAAGTCCAAAGGGCAGGTGGTTGGAAGGATTCCTTGTTTCAAAAAAAAAAATATTGTTCTAGTAGTTATAATACTGCATTCATATTTGAATCGGTTATAACACTACTAGAACATGTTGGCCATAATAGACCTAAACATCCAAACCCATATGTATCAAAACATGCATATATATAAATATATATATATATATCATAATTGATAGTAATCATATGAGTTGGCTAATTTGGTCCTTTTTTTTTGTTGGCAAGTATAGGCTCTATTAAACTCAAAACTCTTAGAAGTAAATTGTAATACAGATGCTGAGGGCTTTCTTTCATTCATAGCCCTCATCATCCGTGTTTCATTGGTTGTTCTTACAATTCACTTCAAAAAGTTCGGCAGAATTTTAAGGACCCTGATCATCATTTTTTGAAGTTCTATCACCTACTTCCCTGGTTTCAGTGTTTGTGCCAGATTGGGTTAGTTGACACATGTTCATAGCATGGGTCTTCGTGTCAATAGCAGTGGCACGAAGATTATTGCTGGAAATCTACCAAATAATACACGAGAGGACTACAAATGCGATTTATCAACCGTACAGTGTATTCAGAGGGTTCAGGGGATGCAGCTGGAGGCAGCAACAACAAGATCTTCCGGTATAAATTTATTGTATTTTGAAAGACTAAATATTCTAGTTTTTCATTCAAATTATGGTTTAAACGAAATCAGAATTATGAAATGTGAAAACCGCTCACACCGGCTAACCAAGCATGATACAATGATATCAAACAACATGAAGTTCAGTAAAATGTACTAGATATTATTATTCAGTTTAAAAATGACCTGTTGGTTAATGAAAATTTACTTACCTCCTTGTTCCAGATGGTTTTGTGAATTATGAACAGAAGGAACAACGTATGCAGAGCAGTTCCGGCTATCATGCCCAGCTAAATTCCCTAAAATTGTTAGCCCATCAGCACAAAAGCTAGCAGCAAAATAAAATAGAATAAAATAAAATAACAGATATGATGGAGGTTTGAAGTAGATCAGCTAATATTCTACGATATAAAATCAAGTAGCATCCGGAAAATTGGAAATGCAAGCAATAAAAAAAATCCTTTCACAACAATAATGAAACATGACAAGATTATAACGTAGCGGAAACGATAAAGAACAGGGTTAAATCCTTGAATTCACAAAGAACACACTCACAAGAGAGAAACTGAAATTATAGTGATAAAGATGATGTCTGTAGACTTACATCTCTTGCCTTTATATAGGCAAGTCAAAAAAAAGAACAAAAAGAAAGAAAAAAGAAAGCATGCGTGAAATAATATTAAAGGGGAAATCTGAGTTTTGATGGAGCAGAATCCTTCTTAAATCTTGCAATGGAGAATAATATCTTCTATTGTTGGCAACTACACCAAATCTTCTTATTTATTTTTTGAATCCTCCTAAATTCTTGCAATGAAGAATAATATCTTCTATTGTTGGCAACTACACCAAATCTCCTTTTGACTTTTCCTTTCTTATTTATTTTTTTCTTCTATTCTCCTTACCTTTTCAGCGTCCCTGATTTGCGATGATCTTGTATGCTCTAATAATCGTGAGCGAGCTGTTCTACATCAGTCTCCCCTACGTAAAAAGAACTCATCCCTGAGTTACCCGAATCTGGTGAATAATATTCATGTATGTCAGCCACATTGAAGGTAGAAGAAATGGCCATGTCAGCAGGTAAATCAATCACCTAGGCATTGTCGTTGATTTTCTTTAGAATCTAGTATGGACCATATTTCTTGGTCTTCAGCTTGTTGTATGTTCCCATTGGAAACCTCTCTTTTCTTAGATACACCATAACCAGGTCCCCTTCTTCAAATACTCTTTTCCTTCGTCTCTCGTCAGCTGCAGCCCTGTATTTGGCATAAGTTTCCTCTAGATGTTTCTTGACACTCTCCTAAATGGTCTTAATGTGCTCAGTCATTTTCTCTGCAGCAACACTCTTCCCCGGCAACTTCGGTAAGGATACCAAATCCAAAGCAACTTTTGGAGGACAGCAATACACAACCGCAAACGGGGATTTGCTAGTGGACCCGTTAACCATGCAATTGTAAGCAAATTTTGCCTGGGCAAGAACAAGATCCCACTGTTTTGGTTTCTCTCCTGAAATACAGCGAATTAAATTTCCAAGGGTCCTAAACACCACCTCTGTTTGGCCATCAGTTTGGGGGTGACTGGTGCTACTGAAATTAAGAGAGGTATCGAATCTCTTCCATAAAGTCCACCAAAAGTGAGACACGAACTTGGTGTCACAATCTGAGGTAATGGACTGTGGCACCCCATATAAACGAACCACCTCCTTAAAGAACAGATTGGCCATTTGGACTACACCGTTCATTTTCTTGCATGCAATAAAATAGGACATCTTGGAAAATCGATCGACCACCACAAAAACAGAGTCTGCTCCTCATTACGTCCTCGGCAACCCTAGAATAAAATCCATGAATAAATCCTCCCATGAAGCATCTAGAATAGGCAGCGGTGTGTAAAGACCAGTATTCTGAGATTGGCCTTTATTAGTTTAGCAGCTTGAGCACCGCCGCACATGGTTCTCTACGTCACGCTTAAGTTGCGGCCAATAATACCATTCTTCTACCAGCTCTTGCGTCTTATCATGCCATACAATTCACGAACCACTTAATCCCGCAAAGAACTCCGTGGAATGCACAACTGATAGCCATTGAAGATAAATCCTTCCCGCATGTGCAACCCTTTAAAGGATTGGCTCATTTTACACGCTTCCCAGGCTTGGCCAAAATCTTCGTCGGCTTCGTATAACTCCTTCGGGCACTCGAACCCTGTAATTTTAGCCCTCATAGTCACTAAGAAAGCTGTTCTCCGACTTAGTGTATCTGTAACTTTGTTCTGTTGGCCTGACTTTTGTTTTAGCGAGAAGGTGAATCGCTGGATATAAGCCGCCCATCTCGCATGCATCCTATTAGCACTATTTTGATTGTTAATGGATTTCAGTGCCTGGTGATTTGTAAACAACACGAACTCTCGCTGGATAAGATAATGCTCCCATGTATGCAAAGCTTACACCACTGCATAAAATTCCAACTCATAGGTAGTCCACTTCTTGCGTGCTTCACTCAGCTTCTCACTGTAAAACGTTGCTAGCCTTCCTTCTTGTTATAGAACTGCTCCGATTCCCACTATTGAGGCATCAAAATCCACCTGGAATAGCTTCTCAAAATCTGGAAGGACCAAGATTGGGGTTGTTGACAGTTTCCTTAATTAAGGCAAAACTCATCTCAGCTTCCTCTCCCTATTGGAATTTTCCTTTCTTCATGCATTCTGTGATGGGAACCACAATACTACTGAAGTTCTTGATGATCCTTCAGTAGAACGTGGCTAAGCCACGGAACCTTCATTAGAACGTAGGCCACTGCCGCCACTCCCGCATGGCCCTCACCTTCTCCTCATCTACCTGAATGCCATCATTACAAACCACATAGTCGAGGAATACTAGGCTTGGAGTCACAAAGCTACACTTCTTTAGATTAATGAATAGTTTATTCTTCTGCAAAGCTGTTAATATCTCTTTCAAGTGCAAAAGGTATTCTGCCTCTGTTTGACTATAAACCAAAATATCATCGAAATAAACAACTACAAATCGACCAATAAATGGTTTGAGTACTTGATTCATCAACCGCATGAAAGTACTTGGCGCATTAGATAATCCGAATGGCATGACTAACCACTCGTACAGTCCTTCTTTTGTCTTGAACGCCGTTTTCCACTCATCCCCAGGGCGGATTCTGATCTGATGGTATCCACTCTTGAGGTCCACTTTGGTGAAGACTTTCGATCCCATCAACATATCCAACATATCATCCAACCGTGGAATGGGAAATCTGTATTTGATAGTGATTCTGTTAATTGCGCGATTATCAACACACATTCTCCAACTGCCATCTTTCTTCGGTACTAGCAAGGCTGGAACAGCACATGGGCTCATGCTCTCCTGAATCAACCTTTTTTGTAGAAACTCTTCCACTTGCCCTTGCAAAATCTGACTCTCACTGGGACTCATCCAGTAATGTGGTAGATTTGGCAGGCTTGCCCCAGGTAACGTGGTGTTGAATGTACCTCATGGGAGGGAGACTTACCAGGCAAGTCTTCCGGCACTAACTCACTAAACTCCTGCAATAATGGTTGCACTATTGCTAGTACTGTAAAAGGAGGTTGTTCAACAACTTCCCCCTTGAACATAACAATAAAGATTTCAGGGGCAGTTGTTACTTCGCCCAAAAATTCCTCACCGTTGATCAACATAATTGAATTTCCTTTAGGAAATTCGACTTCTTTCAGCTGACCCAAAATAATCTTCTGACCATTCTTGTATAGAATATACACATTGTCTCTACCACGGTGAGTGGCATCGACATCAAATTGCCATGGTCTGCCCAATATCATATGGCATGCATCCATGTCGACTACATCACAACGCACCTCCTTTGCATATACTTTCCCAATTGAGAATGGAACGGTGCAGGTTTCAGTTACTCGCGTTTATGAGCCTTTCTTGATCCATCCAATTTTGTATGGATGGAGATGTTTCTCTGTTTTAAGCCCCAATTTTCGAACCATTGTTAAGGAAACACTGTTCTCACTACTGCCGCTATCAATAATAACGTCACATACCTTATGGTTGACAGTGCAATGTGTACGGAACATATTATAACGTTGCAAGTGCTCCTCCTCCTTTGGCGTGAACAACAGCCTCCTCACAACTAAAGAGTGGGACAACAACTCGCCATTGTCTCCTTCAGTCACCTATTCTTCTTCAAAGGTAAAGAACTCACCTTCCTCACCCTCGCCTTCCTCCTCATGCTCGACCAAATTTACTGTCGGTCGCTTAGGGAAATTGTTGGATTTATTGCCAGGTTCTCCACATCGAAAACACTTGCCCATACTTGGGTGTGCATAAGGATTTTCTCTCACAGCTGGGGCTCCTCTTCCAGCAGGGCCTATGGGTGCTATGGGTTTGGCCTTTGTTGGACCACTCCAATGCCTTGCCATGTCATTGGAACAGGGACTACTGCGGTCTGTTCAACCATGTCATGTGTAGGACGTGGGGTATTATATGAACTATGAGACCAATTCTTCAACTTCTCCAGTAATGATTTTGCTTTCTCTGCCGCCGTGACAATATCAGACAGTTTGAATAGCGGTTGCAGCGCCACTTTCTCTACAATATCCCATCGTAACCCGCCTTTGAAAGGGCCACTATGCTAATTTCGGGTTCCACCAGGTTGTTACAGAATGTTAACAGATAAAATTCTTCAGCATATTCAGCAATCGTTCTACTTCCCTACGTGCAGGACTGATATTTCTGATAAAGAACATGTTCGTAGTCAGGGGGTAAAAATCGAGCTTTCATCAACTTCTTCATCTTAACCCATATACGAACTGGATCTTTACCCTCACGTACGCGGGTAGTTTGCACTTGATCCCACCAATGCGCCGCCTTTCAACTTATAGGCCACGAGTTTGACTTGCTTCTCCTCCTGGATTTTCATATAGTCAAAGAAACGTTCAACTTCACTAATCCAGTCCAAGAATTCTTCAATACGAAGATGACCTTGAAAGGTGGGTAAGTTAATCATCATACAAAAATCCCTGGAATCATAAATTTCCTATCAACCTCGATTATCTCCAAACACCTTTACGCCTCGGTTGTTACCAAAACCGATATTTTCCTCATAGGCTAGTTGCATATTTGGTGGGTTTGGGTTGCAATTACCAGCAGGATGTCCATGATGACCGTTGTTAGGCAGCCTGTTGTTCTCGTGGTTAAGTTCTACTGTTGTCAATCTCGCCAATACTTACACGCATAATTTCATGCAGATCAAGTAAGGTTCGATTAACATTGGTCTGGAACTCAGTAAACTCATCCCTCAAAAGAACTACTCTATCAGGATCACTATCGCTGAAAGGGTTGCTTCCATCTAGTGCACCGGCCATTGGAAACAAAGGCGAATCTTGGATTCAGAACCTTGCTATGATACCAACTAACGTAGTGGAAACGATAAAGAACATGATTAAACTCTTGAATTCACAAAGAACACACTCACAAGAGAGAAACTGAAATTATATTGATAATGATGATGCATGTAGACTTACATCTCCTGTGTTTATATAGGCAAGTCAAAAATAAAATAAAAAAAGAAAGCATGCGTGACATAATATTAAAGGGGAAATCTGAGATTTGATGGAGCAGAATCCTCCTTAATTCTTGCAATGGAGAATAATATCTTCTATTGCTGGCAACTACACCAAATCTCCTTTTCAGCGTCCCTGATTTGCGACGATCTTGTATGCTCAGATAATCGTGAGCGAGCTATTCTATATCAGATTAAGTAATTTTTAGGTCAGATGGGTTTATAAGAAATCTCTTGCAGTATAATTAATATAAAGAAACACATTATCTTCTGTAGGAAGACATAAAAATGGCCTTCTACTTTCTACTCGAACCTTTACATTATTCAACCTACTGAAGTGGCTAAGACTAGTTAAGTGAGTTTATAACATAATGCAAATTCTAACCCGTAAATAATTCTACAATATGATTGATATGATGTGAATCAAATGTAATTATCACATCAACAAATAAGATAAAAAAAATACACCTCACAATACAACCCTAATAGTTTAATCCAATTGAGAGCTCTTGCAAAAAATGAGCACTTAAGTCCCAGGTTTACAATGCATATTGCTAACACATGCACAAAATATACAGAAATCAAAAGAGCCTGAATTTGTGTATATGAATAATGAATCCAAACTAGGGAAAAACAAGAACACGCAAGGCAATTCAATACTTATATTTCAGCATCAATCGCAGAAATCTGAACAACTTGGACAACAACACATGTAATCCAAATTTGCTAATCACCAAAAATTCACCATTTTTATTTTAAAACCAAAATCAATTGCAGTCCAAAATAAGGCAACAAACAAATTGCTGAAAAAATCAAGTTCCAACAAGCATGTACATTATCAGAATATAAAAGCAGCGGTGTGTCAACATCATTTTACATAAAAATTTAATACGGAGTAATGTATATATGTATGTGCACATATATATAAAGCAAGGAATTCTGAATCTGAAATTTGAACTTACATATACCATATACGAATAAATCTGTGTGTGTAAAGAATTAATGCATTTTCAGTAAACCATCCAGTTAGAGAAAATTCATCATCGATCTCGAAGAAAAGACAATCACAACCACTGATCTTGACAATGAATCCAAACAAGAATAAACTATCTGAGTTGAAAATAAATAATACCTGTTTAAGTTTGGGTCGCAAGATTCAGTTTATGTGAACAGATCTCTAGACAGTTGTAGAGATTGTAATTGAATACAAGGGCAATATTTATGTCATTTTTAGAGGGAGAGAGGAGAGGATGTGGGATTTTAAAGGCAACGAATAGAGACCAACCCCTCAAATTTTAAGTGAGTACAAGGACGAAAATTAGTAAGTAAATTATTTTTTGTTAGGTTTAAAAATAAAAATAAAAAATTGTAAATATTTTACGATAATTAAATATTAAAAAATAAAAAAAATATCTTACATCTAACCATTGGAACCAATGTAAAAATACATGAAATTAGATGTCAATCATTTATTAAATCACATTACTGCGGGGATAATTTTTCTTATCTTTCGCTTTACTTGTTCTCCTCTCCGGTAATAATTTACATCTACCAAAATTTAATCCAATTTTCCCTTTCTAAGTTCTCAATTTAGATGAAGATGGTTAAATGTTTCTTCCCCTACTAATGAAGTGATATGATCATTAAATGATTATTCCAGGACTGTCTTGTGTGTACAAGGACTAAGGGGATGTTACAATCAATAATTATATTTCTTTTATTATGCTATTTTTCATTTAACGCATTTCTGAACTTGACCCTGAACCCTTCTACTTTTATGTCAAGCTTTGTTACATTATTTAAAATTGTGTAGTGAAATGAAAGATATATATATATATAACGCACAAGTATATGTAGATGAAAATGTTTTTTCTTTAAAAATTATTATTATTTTTTTGGTGTTTGATCATCCAATGTTTAAGTAAAATATTCACAAAATAAAATATTTTATCAAAACCTAACAAAAAATTATGTGCTTTTGTTTTTGGGAAAAGAAAAAAAAAAAAAAAAAATCAGAACCTTCGCGAAACGCCAAAAATAAAAATTATATATTTCTTCTAAAAAAATATTTTTTGAAAAAGATATTTTACTTGAAAACAAAGAAAAAAAAAAAACAAAATTTTTATTATATATATATATATTTTAAGTAACTGTGACACTCATTTAAGAAGCCATGCAAAATGGGCCCACGTACCATTGCTGTTTGCATTCTTTTTATTTTTTAAAAAACTTGAATGTTAATTTCGACATCAACAACTTCATGAAGCTAGGACGGATGTGAAATGGGGTATTATTTTGTGGCCAGTAAACTCAGTGAGGACCCCAACCCATCGTTATCAATATATCAATCAATTTCTCGGACGTTAAAAATAGAAAATATTAATACAAAACGCAAACACACTATGACACATCATAATCACCTTTGACACTCTTGTCTCGATAACTGAAAAATATTAAGACTATATTTGATAGGTACGAAAAAACAAACCCCAAGCATAAAACAATCCCTAATAGAGTGTCACAACAGAGATAGTAAGTTTAGCCGAGAGTGAAAGGGAGGGCTGTTTCAAACAGAGGACACCTTATCGGCAATGCCATTAGCAGCCAATACCTGCGACGTCAGTTGATGAATGCAAGAAATACCAAGCAAAAATTTCAGGAATACGGCATTATCAGCGGCTCAAATCTAAATAAACCACAAAAGAGAGACTGCACACATCTGTTATGATTCTATGAAATTTCCAACAGGACCGACGCCATCGGCAACACAACAAAGCATAACATATGACAAACCAAACATCTCTCAATATCAGTGATATCAATATTCCAAGTCTTCGCTTCCATCACGATGACATCAACGAATACATAATGAAACGCACAGCAGAGAGTAACTGATAAGAAATGCTTCTGTCATTCTCTACAATTGCTTTCCTTTTGCCTCTACCGTATCGGGTTCTTGCCCTTCCAACCCTTTACAAGTGAACCTGAATACAAAGATGTTCCACTTTTAGATGCAAACAAAAGAGAGAACTATTTTTCTAAGAAGATTCAGTTGGAGCTTCATCTAAATGCTGAGAAAAGGAGAAATAAGATATATATTTATATTATATACCCACATTTTTGGCAACATTGCGGAACATGATTCGATGAAAAAATGCTAGTATTGATTACAAATGCTAAAAAAGAGAACACCAATCAACATGAATTAATTTGCCAAAGTAATAAAATTTCAGCACAAAGTACAGACACCTTCCAGAAGAAGACAAGTAAATTTATTTGGATATTATAGAATTGCTGCAATTTTTAACCTCGGGGAGGTGGGTGGGGGGGAGTTTGAGACATGGGGCCTCTTTTAACACCATCGTTATCGACTCTGTATCTGCACTTGTGAAATATTAAGAACTAGTATTCTTATTGAGACTACTACTCACAGGAATAAATAAATAAATAAATTTATGGATGAAACTAAATAAGCATTCTTTATAAGCAAGGCTATTCATTTATTTGGGGAAAATTGAGATGATCCAATTATAAGTTCATGAGAGTTAAAAAAAATTATTATTTCAAGCTCTCGGTTGTCCATTTCAAAATAGTCACATTGTAGAAGTTCGGAGTGTCGTCGTGAACTCTAAGAGCAGATTAATGCCAAACGTCAGGTCTGTATATAATATACTCGTTCTACTTAACTTTGATAACGGGGATCACATGGGGCAATGACCCTTTAAATATGATGTTTGGAAATCTTAAATAAAAGGAGTTACTTACTTAGATTGTGGTCATGAAAAGGTAGCATATCAACAGAAATACAATAATGATGAAGAAAACCAAATATCCTTACAAAAGCCTAACTCAACCAGCAGCATACAATGAGACAACAAAAATTCATTCAAATGATCAGTAAAGTAAAACTTAATGAATTTTACTTATGTAAAATACAGGACCGGTACTCTAGTTTCTCGTTAGGTAAAGTCCGTGTGGTAAATTAGACCAATACAGGGGTTGATAGGTCTTATGGATGTTAATTCTGAATTTTGACTAACTTTCAAATTACAATTGATTGTGATTTGAAATTCAGTTATTTAGTTTAATTTTACCATCAAATTTCATTCACATAATCACATTAAGCATAAGTAGAGAGAGCATAGAGACACGGGTTTGAACGTGAAAAAGACTAAACAGGAAAAAACTACAGGACCTCGTCAATCTACTATGAGAAACAGATTGTGCAACCAAGTTACCAGATCCCAACCCCAGAATCCCATAGTTACAACTTGACACAGACACACACCAAACTCTCCACCCAAGTTTCAGGTTGTCCGCACTGTCAACAGATTCACTCCTCGCCCAATATGCTTCACTAGGACTTGTTCAATCATTTGCTCTCAGTTAGACCGATCGAAGCACCACTCCTGTAGTTGATTATGATGATCTCCTTGTCATAGAACTCTCAATCACATGTATGTAATGTGTATATAATGTTTATACTCCAGCTTCAGTAAGTAGAGTACACTGACACCAAATGACAATTATTATTCTTCCCCGTTAGTAAGTCCATGTCTTTCTAAAAGCCCATTCTTGACCTCATGAAGCGAAGCAAGTAGCAGAGAACCGAGAATTTTATGCAAAATTGATAAGGCTTATAACCATGCTCCCTGGAGGTTCTTGAAAAATTTGCTTAGGAGAATGGGATTCGGAGTAAAGAGAATAAAGAAGCTGTCCCTTTATCGAAAGGGCCTACTGAATCGCTCCCCAAAGGCTTCTTCCACAGCTCTAGGGGTCTTCAATGAGGGGACCCACTCCTATTTAGAGAGTGCATTTGGATTGGAAAAGGTTTGAAGGAAAGAAAAGGAAAGGGAAATGAGAGGAAGGTTATCTCATGTTTGGTTCTAGAAATGACGAGAGAAAGGAAAAGAAAAGGGGGAAAAGAGATTTGTTAACTCCTTAAACATTGCTTTGATTTTCTTCCCTCCTGCGGTAGAAACTAGGAAAAAAGAACGATGGAGTTAGTGATTACCATTTAACAGTTATGCAACTTATGCGAATTCTTGTTTTACCCTTTCCACTCACATAAGAAAACAACCCTTTCATTTCTTTTCTCTCCACCATCTTTCTCAAACAAGATGAAGGGTTTATAACTATCTTTCCTTTCTTTTCCTTTCCTTGAAATTCAATCAGATGTGGCTAACACTATCCTTTCTTTTTCTTTTCTTCTCTCCTAATTAATACTATCTTCCCAGTAAAAATATCAGATATAATTGTAGTCTAAACAATGTAGCCTAACTATGTGGTGCTGGCTATACAAAACCTGCTCTAGGCAGTCTGGCTCTTGAAGACACTTTGACTCAGATTGCCATTGTGCTTCTCCTAAGTCCTACCACAATATATTCCCTTTCCATTTCCTATTTAAGTTATACATCCAAATATTTCTTACACATGTCACTCCCAAATGACATGATCTTTTTATAAAAGTCAACTCCAAACAGGCAGGCTAATATCCAATATCTGTTTCTAAGCTTTCAGCCTTCGGATTCTGAAATACGTGAGAAGTCCAAGATTCATGTTGTTAATCTCATTGAAATTGTTAAGGGCTCAAGGCACACCAGGAACCAAGGTCTCCCAAAGTCCAATAGCAAGGTAGCATAAGGAGTGAGACTGAGGGGAGTAAGCAATATGTGTATATATATTGTACTCAATTTGCATATGTATTCAAATATATCAGTATTAACCTCCAATCTTTTCGTCTAAATTAGGAATGCCCTAATCAAAACATATTCAACATGTGGTGTTCTATTGTGTATACTATGTGTTGATGATATTGTTTTGATTGAAGAAACTAAAGTAAAAGATGCTAAATTAGAGGTGTATAGAGATACTACTCTAAAATCCTTTTTTATTTTTATTTTTTTTATAAGTAAGATTGTATTAGAAAGCGTTCAAAAGGGGAACGCATCCCAAAAGAAGCTACACAAGCCAAAAAGGCACTAGACTCTCAAAGAGTCCAAAAAAAATATACTATCTCCCCAATAGATTTACAATTTCTCCCCAAAACTCAACAAAAAAAGAGAACAAAGAATAGAGAACTCTATAGCTCCAATAGGAGTCTCCTTGTCATCAAACATATGCACCACCAAACACACAGATGAATTACCCTCCAAAAGTCGCAGGCTTGGGCATCCACTGTACATCCTCTCCAAGCCTCAATCAAACCCTTGGAGGACCTAGGCATAACCCAATGGACCCCAAACAGATACAACAAAAGACCCCAACTATCTTGGGCCACAGGATAGTGCAACAAAAGATGATCAACTGTCTCAAATACATAGAACGTAACTTAACTCTTTTTATTTTTGATAAGTAGAATGTAACTTAACTCTTAAGCGAAACTATGAACATATAAAGGATGTAGTGAATCTCAAGGACCAATAGATATAAAAAAGCAAACATTCATTACTTAAACTCAATCATTTCGAAAGAGTGGGAGTTTGGGTACGATGTTACTCATAGAATGAAGCCAAGATAAGTTAAGTGAGTAACACTCATGGCATATTGCATGATGAACACATACCTCCAAAACTTAAAGGTAAATCATGAAAAAGAGTTATCGTACTAGTCATAATTCTTAGAACAAAATGCTGGGTGGCTAGGTGATAACAACATATATGGGTGACTTATAACTTTCAAAAAACAAAAAACAAAAAAAAACATGGGTGACTTGCCAAAAAAGGAGGAGATAACAACATGGGTGACATATGAATATTGAGATGAATGTGGTAAGCCAAGATAGGATAAACTTAAAAATGAATATCTTATTGGGAATTTTTTTTTTTTTTTTTTTTTTTTTTTTTTTTCATTCTTATTGGGATATTGGAAGTAGCATCCTTTGAATATAATATGAGAACGAACAGTTCAAGACGGTTGGCTGTGTAGGGAAAATCAATGACCTACACTAGAAAGCAACAGTGATATGATCTACATTGAAGGTAATGTTAAATAGTTCCTTTGGGAGCGCTCCCCATGTCGTTTTATGAAATCTTAGTTATCAAAAAAAAAGAAAAACAAGGGTAGTGCTAGATAGAAAGGAAGTTTAAAATTTACATTGGTTGAGATAGTAAAAGAAAATATGATAATTTGCGGTCTAACTAAAACTATGACCTTAGGTATCATATAACAAAAAATCATTTAACCGACCAAAATAATGGGACAACACATTATCATGTTGTATTGTTTCATAAATATTCAGAAACACATTCTGAAAACATTAATTTCAAGCATGGTTCGAAGTTGCGGACGTGTCGGGCATACCATAGTTCAATCAGTTACTGCAATCGTAAAATTTTATTGACCATGCACACCATCAATTGTGCTGACTCAACTGAGTCGTGGGGAACTCAAAAACAGACTAAGGCTAGATTCAGCCAATTCTCTACCGAGTCTCATGTGATTCCGATTCTTACCAATATATCAATGAGTATCGGACTTGGACTCAGCTGAGTCCATTATGCCTCAATCAATATGAAAAATTATGATTCATGTTGTCAACTACTGACCCACAAATCAATTCCATATATATTATATTAATTAAGCAACATGATGTGTCACATAACATCGATGTAAAATATAAAATGCATAGGATCTGGCAAAATGTTTAAAAAACCATTGATGATGTGTACTTTTCTTGCACTTGGAGCAAACTAGAAAGCGAGCATCCTAATGTTTTAGTCTGAACTTAAGCGCTTTATCCCTTTAGCATGCACGTTAAGGGTTTAATTGTTACATTGGTTTTCTGTCATGTTAAGGATTTAGTGTGCATTGAGGGGGCCTCACCTTGTATGGAATGAAGCACTTCCACAGCTGAGAGCACCTTGCTAATGCAGGAAATTCTTCTTTTTGTCTAAACTTATCTTTAACAAATATGGTCTCACTTCTTTTCCCTCTTTTGTAGTTCAGGAAATATACTAACTTAAAGAACTTGACAGAAAACAAAAAAGACCATAAGTTGCACATGACAGAATTTATGATTCGATAACATTTGCAGCCACGGACTTAGTCACAACATGGGCTTTACCATTCTGTTACCTTTCTAACTATTCACAGTATGGAAGCTTCTCAATGAGTTAAGTCCCCATGTCAACAATGTATTGGATTCCTTCCTCCCACAAATTTCTCCGACAAAACCTAGAGACGACCTTCTGATGTCCCCACAATATTAGTTAGGATCTCCCCTGAGTCCCCTCTAATGCTTTTCAAATTTTGTGACTGAACAACACAACATTACTGATCTCAGAGAGCTTATTTTTCTGAATATAGAGTTCAATTGCTAAGATGTAATAATGTTCAATCCTTACCGGAAAAAAAGAAGTCCAATCATTGTACCTTTACTTATCTAAAGATTCAGTCATGCTATGTCATACTACTGAATACACATTAGTAATAGCAAGTGAATTATACCTTTTTAGATTGTTTAAGCGAACCCTGTATTCATGCCACAATCTAACATCGGTTATAGTATCTTAGCAGCAGAGCCTTTTAATAAGTAGCATAAGAATTCCCGGACAATTTATACCACTCTAGAAGAGTTTCTAAATAACTTTGATGCTTCTCTAATGACGACGACTGCTCCGGTCATTCTATTGCCAAAACAAATAAACTAACTGCTGACATTAGGCTATTTTTACATGAATGCATATGAATACAATGGGATTGAAATATCACACTACTTTATTTTATTTTCGGAAAGATTTCAGACTTAAAAAATTGAGACACTTGATTTGTACCATATACATGATATTTTCTTCTCAAAGCAGTTATTTTGGAAGGAAAATTGATCAAATATACAGATTTCAATATCACATAATAAATAGATTCTAGAGAAACTAAATACTATAAAACATTCACAGTCATCTCAACTAAGAAACAAAAGCATTGAAAGAACAACTGAATCTATACAACACAACATCGCCATAGTTACCTGAACTCTGAGTTTTGGCAGCATCAGCATCAGCATCAGCATCAGATGTCTCTCCTTTTCTCACCCATACCAAGCTAGCATCTATGGGCTTCCCAGTATTCCAGCGGTTGAACCCTTCAAAACCCCTATTGTAATTCCTGTGACCACCATTCATCTCCGCCGTCAATCTCTGGTTGCTTTCTTTCCCACCATTCAGTGACAGATTGTTAAAATTCGATCTGATCTCCGCTGACCCATCCAATAAACCTTTCTGCTCCCAAACCTTACCATACACTCGCAAACCCTTTCTATTTGACCTAAAATTACTTCTAACCCCCTCCTTCTCACCGTTCCTTTCCGCCAGAACCACCGGAATTTCCTCCTCTGTTTCCTTCTCCGAAACCTTGACATCATACACCGGCACATTAGGCCGGAATTCACAACCACGCTTCTCCTTCTCACCGTTTATTTCAGTCACAACCACCGGAATTTCCTCCTCCGGCTCGTTCTCCGAAACCTTACGATACACCGGCAAGTTTTTGCCATTTGGCCGGATTTCACTCCCAGTCTTCTCCTCCTCACCGTTTGTTTCAGTCACAACCACCGAAACTTTCTCCTCCGCCTCGTTTTCCGGCGGCAACTGTGCTGTACTTGGTGCTAGGTGTTCCTGTGCCCTAGACCTCCTTTTCATCTTATACTTCTTCTTGTTCTTTTTCTTCTTCATAGATTTACCACCATTTTGCTCCTGACAGTTAACCCCTCCAATTTCCGATTCCTCCGCCTCGTTTTCCGGCGGCAACTGTGCTGTACTTGGTGCTAGGTCTTCCTGTGCCCTAGAGCTCCTTTTCCTCTCCCACATCGTCACGTTGTTCTTTTTCTTCATCATAGATTTACCACCATTTTGCTCCTGACAGTTAACCCCTCCAATTTTCGATTCCTCCATCCTTGTCTCCGTCACTTCCACCCTCCGGCGACTTTTCTCCGCCTGACTCCGGAAGTTTCTCTGAAATTGCCATTGACTACCGACTGATACAGAGTTGGTCCTCCTTTTCCCTCCATTCTCGTTCCGTCTCTGATTCTCTTTCTCTCTACGCTTTCGTTCTTGTTCTTCTTTTTTCTCTCCCTGATTTCGTTTCCATTCTCGTTCTTCTTCTTGTTTCTCTCTCTGCTTTCGTTGCTGTTCATTGAGCCACCGCTCTTGGAGCTGTGCGAGAGTCACGTAGTTCGGAGGCAGCGTTGGATGTTTTTTTCCCTTCTCCATTGAAGATTTAAACAAAGGAAACTTCAAGAAACATGAAGAATAACCATGAACTCTGCCTATCTACAGGTGTATATATGAATACATTCAGAGAGAGAGAGAGGAGAGAGAAAAATTGACCAGAGAGGAGACTGGAATATATGCTGCAGTTCCAAGGTCTGTAGTTTTCCTGTCAGACTCATTATCCGTGAAAGGGACAAACACGAGGTAAACCCGAGGTGAAGTAATTGCTTTGTAAAAGCAAAAACAGAGAGATCAAGCTCAAATAGCATTAACTTCCTCGTAAATTACGGAAATGAATTAATTTGTCATGTTTTGGAGGTTAAAAAATGTTACAAATAAACCCAATTGTTATTTATTTTTATTTTTTATTTTTTATTTTTTATTTTTTAAACACGGTGGTGTCGTGTTTCTTAAAGTTCTCTGCACTTCATAACTCATGGCCGTCCACACCATTTCAATTGTACGAGTAATTATAAAAATAAAAAAATAAAAAAAAAATCTATAGAATATCTGCTAAACAGTAAAAGATTGCATAAAGTATTCTTGACCTTCAAAAATGTTATTAGGATCTCCCTTATTGAATTGTTTAAAATTTAGTTTGGCCTCGTTTATTATTATGATAGAATATTATGATAATGAATTTTTGGAATCAATGTCGTTTATATAAATTAGTCAATTTAAAGTTTGACTTTGTAACTTATTTAGTAAATAAGTTGATTTAGAAGATTGTTACGATTTGTAACATTGTTAAATTTTGTTTGTGAACTTTAAACTTATGTGGATTAGCATATATGTTTATAAACGTAGATTTGTGTATAATTGTATGTTCATAACTGCCCGTAAATATAAATGTATATAGACTTTGTTAAGTTAATCGATTAACTAAATGATTTTGTGTTCAAACTTGAACTACTTCTATTGTTAAATAAGTTTTGTATCAATGAATTTCCAACTTCTCAAAATTTCGACCCAGTCATTTCTCAAAAAATTAATTAGTTAATTAATTAAGTAACATTAATTTCATCATTAACTACATGTAATTATCATTTCCTTTCTGTTTTCTTAGATTGTGTTTGATAAAACTTAAAATTAAGTATTAAAATTTTTAAAATGGAATGATAAGAATGATATTCTATTTATAATAAAATTTTATTTCATTTAAAAAAAATTAATTAATATTTAAATTTTGTTATTAAAAGCACTTAATGAGCGTTTAATTTCTTCAAAATTAAGAATTGAATTAAAGTACCAAACAGAACTTTATTAGCTAATAACAATCAAATTGTTTAAATTTTGATTTTACTTCAATCTCAGCGAATATATATATATACACACACACACGGAGTATATTTATTTATTTATTGAATTGAAGAAAACAACTAATTAAGGGACGAGAGTGAATACATATGTTCAAGGTCTACTTTCTGTCCTAATCTGCCAGGCGCCCTTTACCTGTCGTGTGGGACCCATGTGCCATTTATTGATGTGAAAATACCAAGTACAGACTACAGATAATTCTAAATGACAAAAATTATTGTTGTACTATTTATTAGAGTGCAAACAAAAATCCATTGGTTAATATATCATAAAATAAATATATTTTTTTTTCCAACTAAAAGAGTGCATCATATTCTAGGGTTTATTGTTTTGAGAATTAACTTAGACAAAGTTTTGAATCTGATTTTGCTGAGGAGGAGGTTAAACAATGCGATTTGTAATTGGCTTTCCACATTTTTAGTGATATCTCTTTTCTCTTCTTTGAGGGGAAGAAAAAAATATATATATATTATTTCTCATCACTCGATGTTTTGCAATTCTAATACATAATTTACGTAATTCGGTTTCCACATTTTTTTGTTTTGCATTTTTTATTTTATACGAATTAAAATTTTAGAAGCAATACTACTTTGTTGTGTTGTGATTTTTTTCTAAACATAAACATATTTATAACTAAGAAAAAAATATGTTTGCATGGTTTTAAGAAATGGTTTTTACACTAAATTGGTTTTGTTTTTTTTGTTTTTTAAAGAATAAAAATTTATTATTACAGTTGTTCAATTATAGTAGTCATTACAAGTGAAAACTATTATACTTTTCCCTCTAGATTTTGGTCCTTTTATTTATTTATTTTAAACAAAACAGTAATGTTAGAAACATAACAATATTAATAAGGTTTTTGTTTTTTACTCAAGTCCCATAATTTTGTAAGATTTTTTATATTAATTTTTTTTAAAAAAAATATTAGAGATTAATCTTATTTTTAAATCTTTGTGTTAATTATATAAATATTATTTTTAAATTTCAATGAATTAATGGAGTAGCTTTTTCAGATTTAAAAAAAAAAAAAATGAAAACCTTGATTCCACGCACAATCCTATTCAACAACACACTTACAATGCCTTTGTTTCTCCTCCTCAATCATTGATCTTGGTACATGTATCCAATACCAAATAATAATAAATAAAAAATGATTATTCTTTGGATAGCCAAATTTATTTTGTCTTTCATAAAGTCGTAGAATTAAAGATTAATTACAATAACACTTTTTAAGATTTGTTATAATAATATTTATATACAAGTTGAATGTTTATTTTTTTTTAACGATGACACTATCAAAAATTTTTGATCCAATCAAGTCCTTAAAAGATTTGAAAAGACAAAATTATCTATCAATACTTAACTAATTTAAATTCTAAAATATCATAATTTTAGAGTTGGTTATACAAGTTGAACGTTTTTTTATTTTTTGGCCGATGACATTCTCACAAAATTTTGAAAGGTTTGAAAAGACAAAATTGTCTATCAATATTTAGCTAATTTAGATTCATAATTTAAAAAAGACACTTTTACCCTCCTACCAATCTCACCGAACGCATTCAACCACCACTGAGCTAGTGAGCTAGTGTTTAATTTCTCTCCCACATTCGTCACCACCACCACCACCACCATCACCCCCTCTCTCTATCACCCGCAAGAAAACAGACAACCTTCCCACAAGAAAACAGAATCGTCACCATCACCCACCTTCACCACCGCCCACCCCTTCTTTCCCCTTTCTCCACTCACCACCACAACCTCTACCACACAACCACCACCCACCATCGCCATAGATCCTATTTTTGTAAAACCCATTATTACAATAGATCTATAAATATATATATATATATATCCGGTCATCACCACCATAACTCTCATCGGGAAAGTTCTGCCGACCGACCCATGTTCAAAGAAACTGAGGAGCAAAAACAAACAGATGAGCAACCCATAGATCAATCCAAATCCATATGCATCATCAGACCGTGGTCAGAGGTTGCGACGGATGTGGTGGGGCATCACCGGAATTAACTAAATTGGATTCGTAGACTGATTGGATTCGTAGATTGATTTGATTGCTAATCAGAGAAGTTCTGTTTGGTGTGTTATTCACAAATGTTTGGCACGATTTGGGCGATTTTACACCACTGTTGATTCGTCTGTCTCCAATAGACCTAGGATTTCGGCGATTCCAGTACAGAGCTCCGGCGACCACCCCACTGGTACGTTGGAGAACCATGGAACGTTCTTCAACCCAGGCTCCGGTAACCCCACTAACACGTTAGATCTATGGAACCCATATGTGATATATATATATATATATACACATATATATCAGGTTATATATCGACAATATTTGTTTATAGAGAGATGTGGGAGAGGTTATTTTGGACATTTCAAATTTATTATAATGGATAACTTAGTAATTTCATTATTCAAAAGGGTCACTTTACAAGTTAAATGATACTTAACGTCATTTTATCACATGTCAAATGAGTCTCTTTATCAAAAGTGAGTTAACTTATGAACCTCAAATAGTGTCATTATAATTAACCCTAGAATTAATTAAAAAAAACAATCACCAAATATATAATAAAGCAATGGGGCTCGGGGGAGGGTGAGAGAGGGAGAGAAGGAAGGTAGCCTGGCAGGGTTCTGATCATCCTCTATAGGGTAGTTTGGTGGAAACAAATTAGGGTTAGTTTTGAATTTTTCTTTTTTTTTTTAAAAAAAAAAAAAGCTCATCAAAGTTAACACGGTTTATATGGACTGTTTGTTTACTAACAGAAATATTTAAAAGTAGGACCGATCTCTAACACTTTTTTAAAAAGACACTAATCTCAAAACCTATACAGAATTATGGGACTTGAGTCAAAAAAGCCCTATTAATAAACATGTTTTTGGGACTTGTTTATGTTTTCAAGTGGTTTGACAATAAAAACTCGAAACAAATGATTGTCAAACAAGTCCTAAGTTCGTAAAATTGCATTAATAAATTTAAAGAAGAATAAGAGAAATAATAAATAATAAAAAAAAAAAGAATGAGAATAAAGACTTAATTCATGTTGTTTTACTTACCAAAAAAACAAAGGAGAGAAAGAAAGGATGATGGTGCACATATGTTTATATATGAGTGCAAGAAGAATAAATTCAAGATGAGAAAAAGAAGAAGAAATAATAAAAGAAAAATGAGAACTTTAAAGGGGAAAAAATAGTTGAGTAAAAAGGAAAAGAAAAAAGATGGAAATTTTTTTTGAGGGCAAGAACATTTGTTTAATAGAAAAGATAAATTGAACATTATTATGGTGCACTAAGCTCATGAACTCATTAGAAACTACCATTCAACCTCTTCCTCTCCTAGATGTGCAATCAAAGTGGACATTAAAAAGGCCTTTGACACTATAGGTTGGGATTTTCTAATTGATACTCATTAGAAACGACCATTCTACCTCTTACTCTCCTAAATGTGCAATCTAGTGGCCATTGAAAAGGCCTTTGACACACTAGGTTGGGATTTTCTAAATTTGCGAATAGAAGTGTGATACAATCAAATCCAACTCACCAATGGTGACTATACACTTTTTCATTATTGTGTATTTGTTGGTAGTTTGGATGTAGCGGCGGTTTGAATGAAATTGTAGATTTGAATTCTTAACAGTTTAATTAAAGCAAAATAATTCTAAGAATATCTCTTACTAGATTAGATAAATTTAGGTTAGAACCACTTTAAATGTACCAAGTAATTATCAAAAAAATTCTATAGAATAGTTGTAAAGGATTGCAAAATTCGTATTAATCTTGACCTTCAAAAATATTATTAGGCTCTCTTTGAGATTATGTTAACGAATAAT